CCCCTTGCAAAAAAGTACAGGACCCAGGCAGCCTTTGAATCCCCTCTACTCAAGGCCAAGTCTGCTATCGGTGACCGCAAGACAGGACAAGCCACTCAGAGCTCTGACAGGACACAGCGGGATTTATTGTGATCAAAGACCCGGCCTGGAGGAACAGTGACTGTGCGCAGCCTGGGAGATATTTTCTCTTCTCCACTCCTCTCCTCTGTGGAGCCCTGGAGGTCTCAGGAGAGTGGTATTTAATGCCACACTGTCCTGGTCAGCAGGCTCTTTGGGTAACATAACCTATGCAATCGGATACCAGCCCTAGCGTGCCCTGCTTTCTTGATGGAGGGCAGGATGATGATAATGTAACAGGGGTGCTGCTAGTTATTTGCTGAGTGCTGGCTGCTGCCCAATCAGAATTTGAAAGATTTGAGTGGCTTATTATTGAGTCCTATGACCACCACCAATCCAGGTAAAGCCTTCGACACGGATGCTCTAGTGTTTGTCACTAAAGCCTGTGTGAGCTGCTTGGTCACCAGCCTGGGGGCTGTCAGGAGTCCCAGGAACCTAGTGGGAAGAGACTAGGTCATCGTGGCTGTGACCTTGAGGTAGATACTAGAACCCCCATTCTCTCTCTCTCCTTCCCTCCCTCTCTTTCTCTCCCTCCCTATGTCTCTGTCTCTATCTCTCTGTCTGTCTCTGCCTGCCTCTCTCTCTCTCTCTCTCTCTCTCTCTCTCTCTCTCTCTCTCTCTCTCTCTCCCCTCCATCTCTCTTTCTCCTTCCCTGCTCTCAGGAAGGGAACAGATCTCCTTTCTCACACACATAACTGCCGTGATGTGCTGTGCTACCACAAGACCCAAAGCAACTTTTCAAAATCACTACTCAAGACAGCATAACTTCTAAATTTTGTCACAAGATCTTTCAGGCTCTCTCTCTAATTTCTGTATAAGAAGACTATGTACAGATAAGTTTTAACTCTGTATTTCTGTGTTTGCCTCTGTATCCATTGTCTTATTTAAAAAAAATAAAAATAAAGCCATCATAGAACATATTATTCTAAGGAGATGAAGCAGAGAGCCACAGACAGATACACAGGTGACGCCTGCTACACCAGGTCTCCTGCGGCACAGCCACATGGGTTCACCACTGTTTTAAGGCCCAGGAAAGGGATGAAATTTAAAGCATTTAAGACAAGGCCCTGGAACATGGTCGTATTCATTGTTAACAGTTTCATGTATTATTCATTTTTGACTCTGTCTCACTCTCCACCACTGAAATACTTTTCATTATTATATATAATGATAAATGGTATTTCATTATTTTCTGATACATCATTATTTTCATAAAACCCACCAATATAAAATATTAAGTTGCTTCTAGTTATTTATATTATAAAGAGCAAATTGCTTAAACTCATAATAAAATCTGTGAACACACACCCTTACTGGTTTTTGAAAATTTATTGTTGGATCAAGGAACAAAAGCATTGCTTAGTCTTTTCTCTGTTTTTTATTTAAAAGAGAAAAAATACAGAAAAAAAAAAAGAAACAAAACATGAGACAAACATCAACAAGAACCCAAAGCAGTAATAATATAGGCTTTCAAAACAAGGTGATATAATTTAGGACTGATTGTTATATTGCATATTGTTACCTTCAGAAGAGCTGCTTAGGTTACCAGACACAGACATGCAAAACTAGTCTTTCCAAGAACCCTGAAGGAACAGCAGACCTGTCTATGTGTGAGCATCTGGTCACTCTATCCTTTTGAATGTCAGTTTTGTGTTTTAAACCTGGTCCCTTTGGTGGCTGAAGAGGGTGTTTTCCTAACATCAGAACAGATGCTCTGTTCTGAAAGGCATCACTGGAAACTACACTAAGCATAGGGCCAGGTGTGAAGAATACGCACCAGAGCCCAGTTATGCACTGCCGAGTGAGCAGCCCAGCAGCTCCCGTGCTGATGGGGACCGTGATGCTTGCTGCCCTCCCAATGCCTGTGTTATCAGCTCAGCTGCATCCTCAGAGTCTGCAGCCAGGGGTGCCCCATGGAGCCGATACACCTGTTTATAAAACGGAGCTGCCCAGTGGTCAGCCTGTACGCACCTAGCTGTGCATCCCTTCCTAAGCCCCAGCTCCATTTCTTCAGCTTTTTGTCCTGCTACTGTCCTGGTGTTGGGCAATCCTGGCTGCCCTGACCCCCAAGCTGCTCCCTGAACCTCGCTAAGCAGTGAGAGTGGATCTGTGGACACTCAGTATCTTCATCATTCCCGGGTCTCAGCAATCCCATGTTAACTTTATAATGAGTTGGCACATTTCCCACAAAAACAAATCAAGGTTTCTGTTGAAATTGAAAGGAATTTCTTTTCAAGCCAACACCTTTTATTTGATCATCTGAGTTTGCTAGCTGAAGTATTTTACAGCCCAGACTCCATCTCTTTCCTGGTTAGAGGACTCGGTGGACATTCTGTTTGTTCCTGTGTCAGTTTTACTGTGTGCTCCGGAGGATGCTATCCTAACATCAGCTTCATTTGCACTCCAAATGTGTTAATTTCAAGTTTTTAAACTATTTTATCTCTTTTAAGTTGTAGATTTAAAATTATCTTTCAATATCTTTTACTAGTGTGATGGTCCCTCTCTTTTATTTCTAGCATTGCTGGTCTGCACCTGCTGTAACACTGAACTGTTGTGCTAAAATTTATTAACTTTAGCAGTCTTTGGTAAACCAGCTTCTCTCATTGCAGATCATTTTATATTTAATTAACTTTTGCTCCTTCTTGATAATTTTATTCTTCTTATTTTCTTTTGGTTTAATTTGCTTGCTAACTCTTAGGGATGGATATACTGTTCACAGTTTTAAAGCCTTTTTTATTACAAATACATGTATTTAGAGGTAGAAAATTACTGTGAATATGGATTTTTCCACTTATCAATGTTTGTCTTTAATTATGTGTTACAGAATTTAGATGCAAATGTTTTATAAATAATTACATTTTCTCAAAGATGCTAAAGTTTCATAAAGACTTTCTTTGAGCATTTTAGCTAAAGGATTACTTTGCTAGATATTTCTGTAGAGGAGACAATCTTTTTTGGTACTGTTCACATGGTATAATTTTTACAATCTTTCTATCTCTGCGTTTTAAGTGAGTCTCTTACAAATGTCATTCATTTTAATCCAGGACCATTCATTTCAGTCTTTTAATTAGAAAATTTAATTTCTTTCCATGTAATGCAATTCCCAGTGTCCTTGGCTGTCAACTCACTTTGCTTTTTTCTTTTCATTTGTCCTGCCTGTTTAATTTTTTCTCTCATCTTTTTCCAAATTACAAAAGATTAAATTTCATTTTCTTTATAAATAAGAACATTTCAAGTAATTTTACTATTGTGTTAAGGGATTATGTAGAGGTTGCCATGGGGACATTCAGCTTCAATGTTAATTTTTACCTTTCTTCTTTTCCAAGAAGGAACAGAACCTTAGGGCTGGGAAAGTCCCTTCACTGCCTTGCGGGCTGCTTGCTTGGCCTCTGGTCCTGCCTGTGAATTGTGGGTGCGGACTGACCGGGAGCAGCTGAGGTGTTTATGCTAGTGTTTTACGTGATCATTATTCATCTGTGTACTCACAGTGTCCGCCTTTTTGGTGGTTTATTTATGCATTTTGCCCTGATGGACTGGGATTATTCCATCGCAGAGCCTCTTCTGACAGCGCTTCCTCTGGGTCTTCTGGTACTAAAGTCCATATTTGTTGGCCAGCGAGAGTCCTTGTCTGCTTCTGAGCCCGGAGGCACAGCTGTGCTGAGGGACTCAGTCCCTTGGGCTGAGAGGTCCCTGCCCAGGCCTCTCCTCAGGAAGGGCCCTCTGGTCAGGCAGGGCCCTCTCCTCAGGAAGCCGAACTGCAGTCCTGGATGAGTGCAGGCAGCCTGAGCTCAGGCAGCTGCTGTCTCCTGCTCCCCACCTGTACCACGGGGAAACAGCATCTCTCCTAGTGATCTTTGAAGACTAGAAATAAGTGACTACCTTTTTAGTGTCTCTCTTTATGGGTATTTCACAGAAATAGCAGTGTTAGCACAAGTTTTTATAAAGAGTTTTCCATGCATTTCTCTTGTGGTCTCCCGAAACAGTTGATAGTCTGCTTAGAAATAGTTAGAAACAGTAAGCACTAATACTGGTAGTTTTATTAAATCTTACAGGAAAAGGTTTCAAGCAAAACAATTAAATAGAGTATTAAATAGTTATTTAAAGAGAAATCTACAAATCTACACTTAAATCACTGACTCTGTATGTGTGTGTATGAGTATGTGGGACTATGTGTGTTTGTGAGTGTGTGTGTGTGAGGGTATGTGTGTACATCTGTGAGTGTGTGAATGGATGTGTGTATGTATACATGTGTGTATGACTACATGTGAATGTGTGTGCATGAGTGTGTGTGTGTGTGAGTGTGTATGTGCACATGCATGTGTGTGTGTGCTGAGAATCAAAACCAAGGCTTCCCATGTGTCTGGCAAGCAGGAATTACAGCTTCCCAAAATTTTGGAATTTTAAAAGTCATGCCACGTAATAAGTTCACTTCGGCTGAGTCACTGATTCTCTCGGGCCTCTCCTGTGATTATTTCCCATCCTCTGCTCCCCCTAAATGGCACAGCGGCAAAGCGCCACACACATCTTTTGACGTAGACAGTGTTTGTTTGGCAAAATTTACAACTGCAAGTAACTCACGGTGCAAGCAACATGCAAGACCAGTAAACATTGCTAATGAATTTTATCTTGATAAATGAGGAATGCCTTGCAATACAAGTGTGTGTTGCTGAGCATCACTTATCATAGCTGAGCAAGTGGCTCTCTCCCTCCTCCTTCCCTCTCCCTCTCCCTTCACTCCCTCCCCACCTTCCCCTCTTCTTCTCTCTCCTTCTCCCCCCCTCCTAGACTCTCCCTCTGCCCTTTCTCTCCCTCCCCTTCTTCCCTTCTTCTGCCCCCTGCCTGTCCTCTCTCCTTCCCCCTCTCTCTCTCTGGTTGGGATTCTGGGTGATCATCTCCCAACACCAATATGTTAAGGGGACCTCATCTGCAGAGGAGAAAGAGGAGAAGGAGCAGGAGGGATCCCTCACTCCCAGTGAGATGAGGGAGGTCTGTCAATGTGGGAAACCCTGTAGAGCTGTATGGATGGTATCCACCACCGGAACAAGCTGCAGCAGTGCAAATGATGAATCTGCTTAGTGACCACACAAGATTGCATTCACTTCTGTGCAACATTCTCAGAAGGAGGCGGAAGCAGGTGTGGCCAGGTTAGGTCCCTGATAAGTTGCAGGAGAAGAAACCGATTCCATCCATCAGGCTGAGAGACAGCAGCGACTCCACCAGGGTCAGTGACCTTCCCCTCCCATGTCCCTCACACCAGCCTCGGAGGTTTTCAGGGCAAGTGCAAGCTAACTTGCTTTTCTTTATGTTTTGTATTTTTTTTATTATTCTCCACTGTATTACAGTATTGCAATCTTTTTCATGTGAATATTTTTGGGTTGCAGAATGAATCATCTGCATTTGTACTGTTACGGGAGGATGTTAACTTAGAGATGACATCACCCAGGTCATCAGGTGACTTCAGCTGATCTTACCCCTCCCCACCACTGGGAAAGCTGAAAAAGAGGCCTTTGGGGAAGACTGAGCTCTTTGCCCTGCAAGGGTCAGAGCCGGCTATCCTGTCAGCAAGATGTCAGCCTTCATCACTCCCGGGAGCAATGGGCCTTGTCAAAAGCAAAATCCAATCACAATGGCTCCAAATACCTAAGGTGACTGCTTCGATGTCAGATTGGCCACAGGAAGGAACAGCAGTGGGTCTATTACCAGAAGACCAAGCTCTCCACATCTTTCTGAATTTCCGAGGTGCATTTCCAACCTGCCTGTGCCTAGCACCTTTTGAAAGGTCTATCAGTGAGGTTGTGATCTCTGGAAAGCATGCTCATTATGGTGCCCTCTCTGCACCAGGAGAAGCAGGACAGAAAGCAAATTGGGCCCTGTCACTGTGAGTCTGAGCATCATCACCAGGTAGGTGATGAGCCTGAGTGCCCTGCTGAGGGGTGGGGAGCTTCCCCCCTGCAGAAACGACTCCAGAGGTGATGGATGAGGCAGCTCCACTGGGGAAACTGCTTGTTCCCATTGCTACCGCAGTCAAATTGACTGTGTGTCCTTTCCCCTTCTCTCTGGCCTTGAGACCTCTGCACATCCACTGGGTTTGCATGCCTGTATCACCTGGTCTCCATGGAAACCTCACTGGAAAATCACAGCAGGGACCAAGATTCCAGGGCCTATCTACTGGTGATTGATTTCGCTAAATGAAGGCTTCATTGTCCTGAATTGATTGGCATTAGAACCCGGACAGCCCTCTGCAGTTGATGCCCTCTTGCACATTACAGGATCGTTAGCTGAATCCCTGGCCTCAGCGGGCTGGATGCCACAGTGTCTGAGTTATCTAAAGTGATCTTCACAAGCCACATTCCTCAGGTAGAAATCACCTCTGCTTCAGAAACATGGAGCTCGGTCATGGGAATGTAGGATCCAGTGGGCTGAGGCTTCCCACAGTGTGGAAGTGTAGCTTTGTTTCACTTTCAAACCGGTCTCCTCTCAGATTGTGTCTGGTGGCCTCAGGGAAACCAGCAAATGTTTGCCAAGCAGGAGCTCTGCAAATATTCCACAGGAATGTGACATTCCTACCTCGAGTGTGCCATGGAGGGAGGCAGCATTTGTGCAATCTCAAAGCGCTGTCATGTTTTCCTCCCTTATGAAGGATGTGCCTCTCATGAGCAGGTTTAAAACACTGAAGCGTACAAAGTGGAACGCGAAGGACCCGCTGCCTCCTCCAGCTGGGAGCTCTTCTCCCATCGCCAGGCCTCTGAGCGCTGCAGTCCTTAGAAGCACAAGTAGAAGGCAGGATGTTCAGCTGGCCTGGGGCCTCCCTTGAATGGCCCAAGGGACACCCTGTGCCCCTGCTGTAGCTCCTCCCTGGACTGCTTTTCCTGCAGTGCTCCTGTGGGACTCTGTCTCATTTTGCTCCAAACTAGTGACATGGTTCTCACGGGGGATGTCTTTCTCCAGGCTGTGTACATAAGCTGCTGAGCTCTGTGCGTCTCTGTCTTTCTCACGTATGTTTTCCCATCAAGTACACCAAGGAACCTGAAACTCCAGTGTGCATTTAATGGTCCACTCTGTTGTACATTTTTGTCATCTGCCTTTCACAGGCGTCCTTGTCATTTCTGTTCATCTCTGTAGATTTAGTTCCTGTGGGTCTCAGTGAATATTGCTTCAGGGAGCAAAGAAATGATGTAAGCTCAGGGGCACAGGTGTCCCTTCTCTCTGTGCAGTAGTGACAGACATCACCAATTGCTCCCAGAGCTTCCCCACCAAGGAAATGTGTGGTCCAGGTCCCCATGGACATGGCCAGTTCTCTGGAGCTCATGATGAGTCCTTCCTTGCAACCTAATGCCCATCACTTTAGGAACAAACTGTACTCATTCTAATAAGGCCAATAAAGTGAACATCCATGCATCGTTTTTATCCATGTGATAAAGTAACAAACATTGCCAAGGGGGCCAGGAAAACAGTTTTTTAAAAAGTAGACTTCGAGCTTGTGTTTGAATTCTAGCTCTACAATTCCCTACTCTGCAGCCTCCAGGGGATGACTTTACCTTTCTGTGCTTAAATTTCCTCACCTGCAAAATGCTGATAATCACAGTGCCAGCTCCAAGGGGTGTGGGGGTTTCATAGTGATTACTTAGGGCTTGGTCAACAGGGAGTAATCCTGAGTGTGTGTTAATGTTGAACTAGCTCTCTATTAATTTAAAGCTAAATTTTAAGGATCAGGGTTTCTCTTAGTGTCACCAGGTCGGATCACTGCTACATGATTGTTCTCTCTGAGAATTACAGAACAATTTCTTGTGATACACTCTAAAGGAAGAATTGTGTTTGCTTTTACCACCACCACAGTAAAGAGTGCATTTTATGCCAGGGCTGGTTGCATCACTCCACAAATTCAAATGCAGAGAGAGGGTTCACAAACTCACACACACACATCTGCAGCATGCAATGGGCTTGGGTTTGTTGCTGCTCTGCTCTGGTATATTTTGTTTCTTAAGTAGTTGGTGCCCAGCTCCTCACAGCGCGTGTGGTCACCGTGTGCTGCAGACACACACTGATAGAAACAGACTGAATGTGGCGGCCGATCCCTGAAAGCTGTCTTATGCTGCTGTGGTACTGTAATTGGAAATGTGAGATGGTTGGAATTGGAGGGCGTGAAGAGCAGGCCCCACACTGGAGAACAAGAGTTTGGTGGGTGCCGTGCTGCAAACAGGCATGGTGGGTGCAGCCGTGGGGACCCCATCTTCTAAAGTGGTCACATAAGCTCCTGGTGAGAAGCAATCAGAATTGCAGTGGTCCATTTCAGAACTGAAATAAGAGTCACAGCATCAGATCCCATGCGTGGAGAAGTCACTGAGAAATTCCTGGAATAATCTCTGGTGTGATCACAAAATCACTAGAGTCCTAAGTGATGCCCTTGGCCCTGTCAGGTTGGGCTCTGCTAGATTTTAGGTCCTGGGCTCTCATGTAGGCACAGTTTCTGCCAGGTTAGCAAGCAGTTGTGGGGGAGGGGACAGATTCCTAGATCTTGGGGACATTTAGCCCACTAAGCCCACAGACTCAGACATAGAGCAATTTACCTAATCACCAAAGGGAAGCTGGGTTTTACTGGGCAAGGGGAGAAAGCAGGATGGCACCCTGGGCCGGTCGATGGTCCTCTTGGCCCTTCCTTGCTCAACATTACAGTGTAGTGCAAAATCAGAGCAGCCGTCATGGGGAGGAGAGAGGAGAGACAGTGGTCAAAGGAATAAAAGTTAATTACGAGGAATAAATCCAAGGGGCTGGTAGACAGCTCTGAAGATTACAGGATCAAAGCCCAGAGGAGGACAATTGCTATCTCTGGAGGACAGAGCAGACTCCAGAAGAGTTATTTCCATGTTGGGATTCAGCCTATGTATGTGGAACTAATGGTCTGTATGGAGGAGCTCAGGATATGCCTCAGCCCAGCCTGGAGAATAAACCTCTGGTCACTTGGCACCTCCTGACTTGTGGGAAGAATGCAACAGGGGTCTGCACACAGCCCAGCAGAGAAAGAAAAGCACCTGAGACCCCATCTATGGAGGGCAGAGCAGGGTGTTTTGGGACCAGGAGGAGAAGCACGTGACCCTTGAGTCCAAAGGGACATGGCCAGGGTCCAGCCAAAGTGGGGGCTTAGAGCTGAGAGTCCAGGCCCCAGCCTTGTTCTTCTTGGAGAGTGAGCTTGCCCACGCGACCCATCTCTGCACAGTGCTGTGTCCACCTGCCAGTCAGCTGGGACAGAGCCACAAAGGGGGACCTGTGACTCCTCACCTCTGGAGATGATGCCATGATGAGAAAGACACCCCACCTCTGGTGTCTCAAGGTGTGAAAACAGTTTACGCAAACCTCAAGGGATGGAAGAGAGCATTAGAGACAACAGCGGCTTAACACAGCAGCTCGCAGGACCCTGAGACCACTGCAAACTTCAGGTTTCTCTAGTTCTGTGGACTCAGGATGAGTTTCCTTCATGGCTATGATCAATGATGGTGATAGAAAAAGACACAGCTGGGCCACCAGGAAGGGAGCCATGGCAGGGTCAGGGGGATCCACCTGGAGGCTGCCCAAGTCACCCCCTCTAGGGACCCATGCATGCCACAGGGGTTGCTCTCCCCAGAGGTGGGGAAGCAGCAATACCAGCCTGGGTTTTGGTCCAAAGAAGCCCACCGGAGACCAGCACCCAGATGCCAGGGGGCAGCAAAGGTCAGGTTCAGTTTATTTCCTTGATTAACTGAGCCTGGAGTGGAAATTCACTGAAAGGACTTAATAGGAACAGAAGCAAAGGAAAAAATTTAAAATATAGGCTTCAGAGCAAAGCAGGAATGGGATATACTAGTTGCCATAGTAACAAATGAATGAATGAGCTCTGATTGTTTTTGACTCCAACTTTACATTTCTGAGCAGACTGTGTGAACATCCCTGATAGTCCACAGACCCTCACTTCCCCCAGGGAATCATGAGGCACTGTGACTGAAATTACCACCTACGGCTACCTCCAGGGAGTTTGTGTTTCCCTGCGGTCACCAGAAAACAGAGGGAGAATTAGAGGGCAGGGTGGGTGCTGGGCACCCCAGCTCTCAGTGCTGACTCCAGCTGTTACAGAGCTGGAGCTGGAGAGGCTGGTCTCGCTGGCCACGGGAGCAATGCCCTGCATGGACGCAGTGGGCTGTGTGGTGGACGCACTTGGAGACACAATCTGGGGAGGAGGCGGTGGCGAAAGTTCTGACAGTCAGAATTCAGAAAGAGAGGAGACGTTTCCTGGCAGAGTTCAGGTAGGGCTTGCATGGGTTGCAGACTTCACTCACTGAGAGAGTGGCTGTTACCCTGGCAGTGGGGAGCAGAGGGCTCTGAGCAGGAGGCTGGAGGCCACGAGTCCAGTAACAACAGCAACAAAATAGCATGGCACTCAAACACAGCACAGCATTATAACATACATCGGAAAGTTAGGGAAAGGTACCAATATACTCAGCCAATGAGGTCACGGATGCTTTACCCTACCTGCTGCTTTTGCTATCTCTTTAATTTTTCTATGCTAAGGCGTATTTTATGATAAAAGACAGGTTTTCTTACTTTACAAAAGACACAAGCCCTCCTAAATGTCAACTTCCACTGCATTATAAATTTGGGTACCACACAGGCCTTGTTGAGACAGTGTCCCCCTTCCACAAACGGCTCCCCCCGAGCTTCCTGCCAGCTCCTCAGGCCAGAGAGGAGGGAACCAGTTTGGAGCAAACCGTTCCCCGGGAGGACAGTGATGAAACGTCCCCTAGAATGTCCAGCCCAGGAAACTAAAGCAGGCATAATCCTACCTGTGCAAGTATTTTAGTTCAGGAGGAAACCTCAGGATAGTCTCTAAACAGCATTTGTCACAAAAAAGAATAAAAGTGTCATCAACAGAATAGGAAGGTTCTGAGGGAAAGCTAACCTCATTCGGGCCCTCGCTGGCCTTTCCTCTTCAGGGGTGGCCAGGGCATTGGCTCCTCTGAGCTCAGTGGCTGAGAGGAAGGTAACACAGTAACGGCTGAAGCCATAAACTCAGAGCTGCATTTATTTCTTCAGAATCCCTCAGTGCATGTGGTTGCAACACACAAGCTCTTTAGTTTCACTCCTTTTGGAAAATGTGGAGAGAACTGAGAACATAATTCCTGCGATCAGACCCTTTTCTCTCCGAGGCATAAGATCGTGACCTGCAGGTTTTCCCGCCTGGCAAAGTCTGCAGACACACTGCGCTCAGCCCACAGAAGTGTAAAATGTTCTAGCTGCTGCCCAACAAATAGAAGTACAATAGCCCTTTCCTACAATCTCGCTGTCCAGTGCTATGTGAAGCATGAGATGATTTGGGGTCACGGAGATGCCTTCCCACTTGGCTGAGTGATTTTACCCACAGCCCCTTCCAGCCTGCTCCCTGGATCTGCTTTCCCCTCAGCCTGGGTGCTGTGCTGGGTCCCAGGTATCAGAGCAGTGCTTCCTCCCCCGCAGGGTGAGTAGTGCAGCTGCCTAAGACCAGGGGTCCAGATGGGCAGCTCACCCCCAGCCGCCCCTGGTCCCACACCAGCCTCCACCCAAAGACGTCTGCACACCCTCACTACAATCCGTACCTGACAGCACCCACAGTTTACTTAACAACGGCTGTGTGCCTATGTCATTTCACATGGTTTCTGTGAAAAAATAAAAACCAAGATGGCCACCGCTGTGATTCTTTAAACCTGAAAAACAGTGGTGCTTCCTCATGTCCCAGGACACTACCAAGTCACCTGGCACATTCTTCATGTGGGAGTTCTGGGGAAAACTAAGCACACAGATGCAGAGTTAGGAGCACTTTCGAGCAGGCAAATTTCAGCTGCATTCTTGTTTCCATTGCTGTCGAGCTACAGAATTCACCTTGCTAAGCTCCTCTCGGTCTGTACAGAAACTCAGTGTGGCGTCCTATTTGATAGCACACACGCTAACTTAGCTACTGCTTGTCCTCACTGCCAGGTTCTTGAGGAGTCTGAATAGGTACCAGAATCCGTGGTTCAGTAACTGGGAACAAGAGCGGAAAATCCCATCGGAGTGGGAAATGGGCGTTATTAAATACAGATGGTGCCTTAGATAAGACGGCAAGAGGAAAGCAAATGCACGCTGCTCAAAAACACCCGCATTTGTGTTTTACGCAAAAATGGTCTTACAGGGTGTCTAACTGAGGACACATGGGCCACCTCCATGAGGGTTCCTGGCAGAGGCTGTGGGGCCGAGTTCAGGGGATAAACTCACCACAGATGTCAGGCATGCTGGTGCCTGCCAGGGGCAGGGAGGCAGGACTGGGACATCACTTCCTGTGGGAGAATGGGGGGAAGAAAGACATAGAGCTAAAATTCTCTGCCCCACATCTTCCAGCCCCAGGCAGTCAGTCCTCTCTTTGGTCACCCAGGTGGCCCTGTAGGTTACCTGCTCCTGAGGAGCTGCTCCAGAGGACCGGTGAGCAATGCTGTTGTGAAGATGACCTTGAAATTGACCCTCGGTGGAGGGCAAACAGAAGGAACAACACAGAAAGTGACGAAGACAAACAAGTCCACAAAGTGAGTGCTTCCCAGTCAAACCCACTAGGAGCAGGGAGCGTGACTGCCGGCTCCCTGCGGGCTTGTGCCACTGTTACACACTGCCATCGTTGTTGTGACTTTATGAGCATCGACTTTGTCCCATTATTGCAGCCATTCCTGGACCCAGTGTTGCTAGTCCCGACCCAGACTCCGAGCCTCAGTTGCTCACCGTACCTGCCCATCTTGTGTGCGGGGTTGGCATCTGCTCAGGATATGGCTGTGCCCTGTGCTGTGCCATCCGCTCTCCACAGAGCCCAGCACTCAGCACCAACCTCTAATTGCAGGCCCAGTTCTCTGCGCAAACAGCTGCGGGTAATACAATGAGACCGTGGATCAGAGAAACAGATGAGCTCCGCTAATGAAAGAGGTGAATGTCGGAGCTGTAATGAGCTACTGTATCACAAACGAGCATAAATTACATTGTCAGTGCTGTTTACAGCTTTGCATGGCACGGTGCCCTGCAATTATGTCTATTCAATTATTGCTTTTAGAGAGTTTTTCAATAAAGATTTCTCTCTGTGGCCAAACAGCCCATTTGGAGCTTCCATGGTGTGTGGCATTCAGAACCAGGCATGAGACAGAATTCATCTCTTTGGATCTAGAAATCTCAGAGCCAAGTGTCTGAAGCTGGAAACTTTGAGTGAAATGCACCAGTGCTCAGGATGAAACGGAATGAGGCTGACCTCTCTGTGCGCCGAGAGTTTGAGTCGCATTGCAAATATCGTGGAGTTTAGTTGGCTTACTACAAATAATAAGCGAAAAATACCCAGATTGAGAAACAAAACACTACCAGAATATTTTGTAAGGGCTGAGAAAATCCTTTCTCAGTTTTAAAGCATACAGTACACAAACATTATCTTAGTGATCTTAAAAACCTGGAAACTCTTAACAAATATCCTCATAACTATATTATTCTTAAATATAACTAAAAGTATGTTCTTTGTGTCATTAAATATCCAACCAGGGTTTAAATTTCTCACTGTTTGGGCTTTTTATCCTCCAATGTGTCATTTACAGATGCCACACCTTTCCTTTCTGTAGATGGGCGGGGCTGCCTTTCAGTCCTTTTCTTTCCACAGGAGTTACCAATTTCTGTAATTTATTTAGTTTTGCTTTACTACGTACAGCTGCTCACTCTGTCATGATGGAGCTTGGTTTTCTGTAGGAGTCAAGATAAGTATCCTGATCATGGAGACAGAACTAGGCTTAGCTGGTTTTACAATTGAAGTGTGTTCCCAGCCCGGTACAAAGTTCCACCCCTGTGGGCTGTGAGAAACGCACTTAGAGTCTGAAAGACTGAAAGCACACGTTACTTTCTAGCTACAGTGGAGAGGTGAGGACCGCAGCCCCTGGGCATGAAGAGAGGCAGCGGCATCTTCTTCTCCTGTGCTGTTTCCATGGCAATGCGGGGCTTGTTTTACAACCTCTCTCCCAGAGGCGATGAGGCCAAGCCTGTGACCTCACAGTGGTTTCAGATGTTTGCAGGAAGGGCGATCACACAAAAGGTGTGCTTGGGGAAAACCTGGCACACTTATGGCACCTGTGGGTCTTCTTAGGCTTCTACTTGGATCTAGGTGCAGTCTTGTTAGGAATAAAGGGAAACACAGGAAATCGTCCCACTCATTCCTCACTCCCTCTGGCTGCTGTGGAGCTCAGGTGTATTACAGGAAGCTGCCACACTGTGAGGCACCACAGCAGCCTCCGGAGAAGAAATGAGTTCCTGGTCACAGCGTGGTCTGGAGGCAGCCTGTGGAAAGCTGGCTCTGTGGGACTGTCACCTGGAGGGGTCACTTGCCTCATGTCACTCATCAGTTCTCCCAGCAGCAGAGCAATGAGCTCTGCCCAAAGAGAAGACTCAGGAGCAGGGTAAGTGACCCTTGTGACCTCGGGGGATGGGGCTGGTGAGGAGGATCCCTGAATGCCTTGGGACAACACTGAACCCCTCTGTGCATTGGTGCCAGCACCATTCAACCCTAGATGTCCTGTAGACAAGAAAGCCTGGGCTTGCACTGTTCTTTGCTGTCATTTAGTGGGTGTTACTTCTTTGTGTCAGTTAAATGCACACTCAGCGGTTCTCAGGGGGAGCCTCTCCTTGGGTGGGAGAAGTGGACTCACCTCGGGTGGGAGCAGAAAGACTCCAGGGCTTCATTATTTTCTGAAAGTTTCTCAAGTCCTATTGAAGAAAGTGCCTCTGTTTTTTCTTCAAGCAAATCATTTTGCAGGCAACTCATCACTTTTGTTCCTTGTGTCTATTTCTTAGAAATGCGTATAAAAATAATTTAAGTTATTTATTTATTTATTTTTGCTTTGGAACACATGGAGTAGCTAACCAAAATAGGGATGTTACAAAAAATGACTATGGCCTGTTTTCTATTCCTAGAGTGTTCTCATTCCAGCCTGGAAAACAAAGATAACCCACATGAGGGAGGTGTTGGCTAGTACAGAACAATTTTACTTGATTTACTGTGGTGTTATGCTGCATGCAGAAATGTGTGCAGTGTTATATACATGGACAAATGATCACTACATCTACTAAGACACAGTGCAGAATTCATCAAAATAGAGCTGGCAGTCACCCTCGCAGTGCCACATAAAATTTGCTAGGAACATTTAAGTCAAAATGCATCTATAAGCAGCTAAACTTCATGTCTATGACGCTGGTGATGGATAGTATTTGTATATTAAGACAGCCTTGTGCTGTTCCTACAAATACAGATACACTTGGTGCACTTCAGACTCTGATCATTTTGTTGCAAGCTTTAGGCTTATAGAAGAAGTCTCAAAGGCAAGTGTCACCATTGGTTTCTGGCTTAGACTCCTGGAATGATTTTGAGGAGCTGTCTTCTTGTTTTGGGGGCAATACCGTGACCACTTTGGCTCACCCCTACCCTGACTTCCTATCAGCTCACAAATGGAAAGCAAGGTGGTCCCTAAGGAGGACTCCAATAGGCTGTGCCTTGTGGGATTCACCCTTGTGTGGTCTCTTCCTCTACCCTAGCAGCTGAGTTTAGAGACTTTTCCACTGAGTGGGATGCAGCCAAGTGGTGAGGTCCCTGTTCTGATGGGAGGTTATAAAAAGGTCACGGCTTTCATGGCAGGTGTGCACTCTGTCTTCTCTGGAGTAAGCCCTTGGGAGAGGGGTTAAATGACAAATGGCTGAGGTCTGCTGCTGCAGCATGAGCCAGCTCCTGGATCAGGTTTGTGGTGCCCCTGACACTGGCCAACAGCTAGATGATAGCCCCACAGGGACTCCTCCAGCCAGAGTCACCCAGTTCAGCCACTCCTAGGTGATCAATACACACAAACTGTAAGATGGTCAGTAGCAAGTGATTTCTGCTGCTTAGTTTTGAGATATTTTGTCAGACCATTAAAAATGATTTGGGACACCTGCTTGGAGAGTTAATCTATGTTTTATTTATATTTAAATATAATATTTTGTTGTTATTTTTGTGAATGCAGGGCCTTTGCATTGAGCTGCATCCCAAGTCCTTTTAATTTTTTTAAAGACAGGATCTTGCTGTTAAGAAGTTGCCTAGGCTTGGTTGGAAATTGGGATCCTTCTGCCTCAGCATCTCAGAGTTCTGAGATTACAGACAAGCACCTATGCCTGGCTGACATATATTTCTATGAACTGGATCATTGATTTTAATATTATCAGGGAAGATGTTTGGAAAGCTGCAAACTCACAAATATCAGGATATACAAGAAAATATTACTAGTCTCTATCCATGATGCATATATATATATATATATATATATATATATATATATATATACTTGTGATAAGTCATAGAAAATGCATGCATGGGATTTGCTCTCAGTGATAGTTTTAGACACAAGAAATCATTTAGCACCAATGATTTAGGAAGAAATAGGAAAACAGGAGAAAAGAGAAAATAAAAAGTTCAAGGAAAAAATGAAAAAGGCTAAAAGGAAGAGGAGAGAGGAACAAAAGAAAAAATAACCATCACAATATACAGTACATATTTTAGCTGTTTTTATTGCTGTGACCGGGAAACTGTAAGCATGAAGTACTGCAATTTATCTATAAAACTAAGAAGCAGCACTGAGGTGACTTTGATGTGATCACGGCTTCCGTGCCATAAACCCCAGAATAACTGCCTTCCTGTTGAGTACAGGACCCTGGAGCCTAGAGGTGAATCTCCAGGCCACAACATCCAGCAGGGACTACAAACGTTTCCCTGTCTTGCAGTGTAACAGACATGTCCCAGAAAACTGCATAAAATACATATTTCTAGATCAAAAATAAATATACTCATGTCAAATGTTCATATGGTATAAGGACAAGGCATGTAAACAAATGGGTTTGTGGATATGCAGATGGGAAAAAGTCACATTTCCAACACTGGATCAGATGCACAGCTTTGTCATGGTTAGATAAGTTCCTGAATATTATGAGTAGAATTTGGACTTTTTAAACCTGCTTATCTAAAAATTTATACATTCAGGTTCTTTTCTTTCTCCTCATTGGGAAACACTCCCTCTCCATAGCCTAGAAATCTCATATTTGGAGCTCCAGGTCGCTGCTCAAAGAAAGGTGGAGACAACCATACCAGCTTTATAGCAGGTGAACTGCACCTTGAAAGACCTTGTCAGAGCTAAGGAGCCCAGTGAAGGACTAAGAGGTTATGTCAGTGCTGCAAAATCTTGTTTCCAGCAAACTGCAACTCTCAGCCAGCAAATAGACACCACAGGGTGCTATCAGGAAGAGAATCAAGAACATAGGGACTTTGTACACTGATCATCATCATTCATGCTAATTATTGAAACCCAGAAAGAAAGTCAGTAAGTCAGAAAACCGCAAAAAAAAAAGAACAAATTATCCCATGCATCCCAGGAGGAACAGCAGTATATCTTGGAATTTAGAATGAGCAAGAACCAAGATCCAATATTTAGGGTGCGAATAACTGCAAACAACAACTGCAAAAATATAAATCAGTTACAATAGCCAAGCTAGAAAGAACATTCTACAAAGTTACAAGTCTGGGCATTTCCATTCCAGATAGCAGAAGTGTAAGACACTGTCAGTGCATGCATGAGGATCATTCATGAGAACCATCTAAAATGTGTAACTGGAGGTTTGTTTCTCCTCTCTCTGGTGCAGGAGCATTCACTCATATTGAAATGTTCCTCCCCGGGGCTGCAGACTGTGGGAACTAAGAGCCACATATAAATAATTGAAAACAAGTTTGATAATCTGTCCTGACCACTTACAGGAGAGCAGTGTGAGAGCAGCCCTGGGAGGTGATATGCAACAAGTTTGCAAGAAAAATGACAGTGCTTCTTGACTAGAACAAGGAAGCAAAGAGGTCCTGCAGACAGGCAGCTTTGGCCCCAGTAGGGGAGGATGCATCGGAGAGGACACGGTGAGGACTTGGTGGCCGCAGGTGACCTGAGCCATGCGGAGGCTGAGAGCTACGGAGTTTCTCTGCACCTAGACCCACACCCAGCCTCTGCAATTTTCCCACTGAATCTCGACTTGCATAACCCAGCTCCACGCTTCCTCTGCTCTTGAATTTTATTTGTCTTGCATACCGAGTGCAGCACTGTGGTACTGCCATCTGGAGAGACAGCATTAGCAATGGCCACAGACCAGCCTTACTAAAAGCAGCTGAAAAGTGAAGATATTGGGCCACTGTGCAAAGGTCCGCAGGTGGTAAGTTCTCGCTGGACACACCCTGAGTTCTCTTTCATGCTGCTGGGTCCCTGGGGGGATTCTTGGGTGACCTGAATGTTCTCTGTGAGGGCTTACAAGAAATTCACAGGGTTACTTATTTTATAATATGCAGATCATGACACGGCCTGGCTAAGGGAAAGTCTTCATCCTTCCTATTGGGTCAAAAAGAGAGTCTGCTTCAGTGCTACACAGTTCCAGCTCAGCAGGGTGCTCATCTTCCTGCCTATTGACCTGGCCACTTTCTGACCAAGGAAATTCAGCTTAAAAGGTCGTGCTCCTGTTCTATGTAAGGCACAATAAGGATTGGAGAATTCACTTTGATGATCTTCGGTAATGGATACTGGTAAGCCACTCTGCACAACCTCACTGCAATAAAGAGCTCATCCAAGATTATTTCGAGAGTGAAGGAGAAACCAACACTGATTTTTCAGAACTAAGGCTGGGTGAGACAGTGCAGAGGGTTAAACCGCTCAGCATGCAGATGAGTTGATTCTGCATGAAGAATGAGATGATCTCTTTACTTTTCTCTGGTTCATCACAAGAACATCCTTTTCCACTTGGCTGACAAGGACCAGTGGCTGTGTGAAGCCCGCTGCGGCCACTCATTTCCCACAAGCAGGGGCTCACCTGCTCCCCAAAGCCTTCACGCTCTAAGGTACAAGTGTCTAAGGACACCAGTGAGGAGCATGATTTCAGTTATGTTTTTCCTCATTCACACTGGAATTTCTGGATATTTTCCCCTCCTTCAAGTAGAAAAGGGAACAAGTTCAGTGATTGAAAAATATTCGGTTCCTTTGAAAATTCATGTAATAGAGCACATTACATTCTTTAAGTTCTCCAACTACTGTCCAATACAGGGGTGCTCTTTACTATCACATATGATTTTATTATATTCCCTGAACTGAAGGGTTACACTGAAGAAGATAGTTACATCTCTCTATGCCTGTTAGTTTATATCTGTATCTACCTATCTACATGTTAATTTACTAAAACACATGTAACATAGTTTAATATAAACTATAGATAAACAGTACATAGATTGGGGAAATGAAATCTATTAATTCATATGTAATTTACTATATTAGTAGCTAACCAATGTATGGCACATATCAATTTATTAATTTAATATGCTATGTCTATAGCAATATCTATAATTTGATAGATTAGATGTATGGATCTAATCTACGGAAGAGACAGCTCGATGGATGAATATATAGTATATGCACAAACATACCTACACAGAAGCTGAAATAAAAAATTCTACTTTTCAATATATTATTTGTGCAAGAAGTGCTGCTTCACATAGAGTATATTTTATGCCTACTTTACATATTTCTAACAAATCACGATTGCGTTCTACTGGGCAGAAAGGTTTGTAGATAATTAGAATAAATAATGGCACTGATGTGAACAGGATCCTCATATGTTACAGACATTTATCTTGGAATAGCATATTCCTATGGGAAAACAAAGTCCCCGACTCAGTGGGTTAAAAGGGAAGTGCTCACCCTCCTCCTGGACACTGCCTTTGGGCTGGGCCAGGCACTGGAGTTGGAGGGAACTTGGTCACCCTGTGCTCCTCCGCCAGGGGGCGGTAGGCTGGGTGGAGTCACCCACAGGTTCCCTCACAAGCATTCCAGGGACGGTGCTGGCAGCTCCCCGCCTCATCCGGGTCTTTCCCTGTGGCTGGTTGGTTTGCTTTGTGCTTGGTGGCTGGACTTTTACTGTGAATATCTTTAAAAGGCCGGTGTAAGCTCTGTTGCCTTTGCTTTGCTAAAATTGATTGTTCCACAGTCTGACTTCTGACACATCCCATCCATCAAGGCCATTATGCAAGTGCCCTCAGACCCAAAGGGGGAGCAAAAATAAGCAAAAGCTCTCCAAAGATTGGGAAGAGCATCTTGTGCCCTTGTTTGATAAGGCACGCTCCCAAAATTACCCACCCTTGTCACAGTTGGTTCCAAACACTCGGTGTCCGTCCGTCTGACAGAATTGTCGCTCACAGAGGTCGCACAGGCAGACCCAGTTCCCCGTCCATTTTCCAGGTGAAGACAGCGGGACGTGGGGCTTGGCTACCAGAAGACCTAGGAAGAATTATGAGCAAGTGTGATCCATCACTGACCTGATAATGCTCATCCTAGCAGTAAGAGAAAGGGCAAAGTGGACACCGACACTAGAGAAGTATGCAAGACATTCATTAGGGTCAGGAATGCAGATGAGAAGGACGGGACTTTACCACGACCGCACCCGTGTTCAGGTTTATTCCTACGCTGTGTAAGACAAGGTGGCTGAAGGGCCCAGGAGTCTGAGGCCCTGAGTTCTCCAGCGGGCTTTTTTCCTGGCCCAACCAATAAGGCTCTGTACCTGGAAAACAGCACATCTGTGACCCTGTGACCAGACCAAGGTGGAAAGTTTAATAGGTACAGAAAGCCACTTTCCAGCTCCAGATAATGGCCTCAGCCAGGTGGGCTGGTGCAGAGTTCGGGGGCTGTGGTAAACTTGAGTGTTAGCCACCCCACCTCTGTGTCTGCACTGTGAGGGTGAGAGCATGTGGGATCCCCTCGACAGCTGCAGGAGGAGCAGCCCTCTCCTCCTCTCACTGGGTGAGGCCCCTTCACACCCATCCTGCAGCCTATTCCTAAGTTTTGATGTCTGCCCTTCTCAGGGGTCTGCTTCTTCATGGTAGCAAAGAACTGCACCCTTCCCCTCACAAACCAACTAATCCTGCATTTACCCTTGCACCCTCATCTCTGGGGTCTCTCACACTCGGGGTCACTGGGCCCTGCCCTATGTCCCTGGACTAGGACCAGAAAGCCAGAGACAGCCTTCCACCAAGGAGCCCAAAGAGCCCAGGGAGTCGGTCAATCTGCCAGTGCTAATCTGCTTCCTGCCTGGCTGTCACCTCCCTCAGCACCTGGGGTAGAGAGGGCTGGGGCCCGAGCCCTGCTTCATCTCACCACTTCCCAGTGCTCCCCTGAGATCACTGTGGAGACAGGGCCCTCCCTGGGGGAACAGTGGGTTGCAGAGTCTGTTCCAGGGCAGCTGGACTGCTGGTCTCACTGTCCCTGAGTAATAATGGATCATGTATTTTAGGTCACTTTTTGATTAGAAGCCTCAAAGTAGTTGAAATGGTCCTACGGTTGTTTACTTACTTTATATGATAGAAAAGGAAGAGTTATTTTGCTCTCGGGAAGCAACTACATAGTCACAGTGATGATGGCCAGTGTTTCCTCTGCCTTTGACTCGAGGTCAGGAATTCAGGTGTGATGCATTCATTGTCCATCAGACCTGCCGCCAGGATGCTGACCAGTGAGGTATCAGCTAGTACCTGCAGCCTTTGGGAGAGCTCTGGCCTTCAAAAAGAAGTTACCTTGGAGACCAGTTTAACAGGAAGGAATTCCAAAACTAAGAAGGATCCGTGATTCCTTCACTTGCCAGAGAGGGAGCGCAGGAGCCTCCAGCTAACATGGAACAGCACCTGGAAGAGCTACAGAGGTTGTCTGGGAAATTCAGAAAGAATTATATGCAAATGTGATTCATTCACTGACCTAATAATGCTCATTCTAGCAAAGGAAAAAAAAAAATGTATCTGTCTCAAGGAAGTTCCATTAGGGAGCATGTGGCATAGGATACTGTGACAAATTTATGTTTCATTTATGGAGAAAATAAATTACAGTGTTGAGTGTTGATTCAAGAATGAAGCATTTCTCTCTGTGATCCACTGAAGATAAATTGGCTCCCGGAAGATACAATCAACCCAGCCTGGTTCCTGAATCTCAGGATGAGCATGAACACATTTCTTCAGAAACTTCAGCTCCACAATTCCATCAGGAAATGACTTCTGCTTTGCCTGTCAGCCCGAAAATTACAGGTTTCAGAACAGCTCTTATTTTTGCAATGATTTACAACAACTATGCTGTTACTCTAGCTTGTCTTTCTGGGTCAAGTTAAGTTAAACGAGTATTTATCCAAAACATCAGTACAGCGTGAGCACAGTGATTCAGAGTAAATACTTAAATATCTGATCAATCATTTCTAGTATAACTTTTTAGACCTGGAATTTCTCAGTTAAAGATTTTGCACAATGTTAGATGTTTTTTGACCACTTTCTTTTATAGAGACAGTGCTTGGGTGGCCTCCAGGTGGCTGTGCATGCACGCTTGGGCCTGTTCCACACTTGTATTTTGTTGAGGTTTGTTTTACTACTTCTCAAAGAGGGATCTGAACAGAATCCATCTAATCAGCAAAGGCAGAAGACCCTTTCAGGTAGGAAAAGGTGAAAATGGGATTTTTAAAGAGAAATTTCAGTGTTCCTTGACAGCACTGTCATCTACAGGCCCAGGGGCAATGCAGGGTGGTGGAAATGACCCTGCTGCTGTCTGGGTGCCCTGCAGAAGCCGCTTCCCTTGGCCTCTTGGCTGTGCCTCATCCTGGTGTGGGCTGGGGTATGGCCCCTGGGTTCTCACAGAAGCTGAGGCTACGCAGCTTTCTTTCTGTCACTGTGCCCCATGCTGCAGGTGCCCCATGTGGGGCCCACGGTACCAGTGATCAGGGCCTGGGATTGTCTTGCTCGTCTCTAAGCAGGCAGTGAAGTTCTGCGAGATGAGTTGTGATTGGATGAAGCCCTTCTGTTAGTGCCTTTCTCTTTCCTAGTGATTGGTCCCACAATGACGTGTGACATGGTCCTGGACAATGCGGGGTGAGAGGAAGACAGCAGAAGGACCTCCAGAGCAGCTACCCTGTCCCGCCATAGGAGAGGACACGGTGAGGGCCTGGTGGCCGCAGGTGACCGGAGCCATGAGGAAGCTGAGAGCTACTGAGTTTCTCTGCACCTAGACCCACATCCAGCCTCTGTAATTGTCCCCCTGTATCTTGACTTGCATAACTCAAACTCCAGGCTTCCTCTGCTCTGAATTTCATTTGTCATGCATACCCAGTGCAGCACTGTGGCAACGCCACCGGGAGAGACAGTGTTAGCAATGGCCACGGACCAGCCTTACTAAAAGCAGCTGAAAAGTGAAGACATTGGGCCACTGTCAAAGGCGTGCAAGTGGTAAGTTCTGGCTGGACACAATCCGAGTTCTCGTCCATTCTCCTGGGTCCCTGGGGGTTTCTTGGGTGACCTGAATGTTCTCAGTGAGAGCTTACAAGGAATTCGCAGGGTTACTTATTTTAGAATATACAGATGTCATGTCATGGTTAAGGGAAAGTCTTCATCCTTCCTATTGGGACACCAAGAGGATCTGCTTGACTACAGTTCCAGCTCAGCAGGGCACTCGGCTTCTTGCCTATTGGCGTGGCCACTTTCTATAGCAGCTAACCAATGTATGGCAGATATCAATTTATAAATTTAATGGGTTTTGTCTATAGTAATAGCTACACATATGATAGATTAGATGTACGGATCTAATCTACAGAAGAGGTAGCTCGATGGATGAATATATATAGTGTATGCACAGACACAGCTACACAGAAGATGAAATAAAAATTCTACTTTCAATATATTACTTGTTCAAGAAGTGCTGCTTCGCATGGAGTATATTTCTTGCCTGCTTGCACATATTTCAAAGAAATTGATATTGTGTTCCACTTTTTTTTTTTAAATTTTATTTAAAAGGAAAAAGAGAAAAAACAAAACAAAACAAAGCGGTGTAAGGGTACAAGTAATGCAGAACTACAAAAAAAGTAAGAAATCACCAGTTAATAGATTACACATTATCATCTTAGAGATAGTTGCCCAAGTCACAGTATCAAAGCATACAAAGTGGACATTCAAACAGAGAGACTGCAAACACTTGTGTTCAATGATCCAACAAAAAACATTAATATGGTCAGCTATTTAACACCCCTAAACACACTTGCAGTTGTATCCTTTAGAGCACTTTTTTTCCCTCTCTTTTTACAACAATATTTACACATTTTGGGTTTTATTACTTCTTAGTTCTTATTACTTTTTTTTTTTGGAAGAGAATAAAGTAAAAAATGGCAAAACAAACCTGTCAGTCAAAACCAAGGATAGACATAGTACCTGATGTAAAAACAGAGTACAAGGCTATCAACAATGGTTACCATAATGCCTCTTGCTTCCTTAAAAAGAATTGTCTATCTCATCAGGTATTATAAAGTTGAACAAAACAGTAGAGAACAAGACCAATAAAACTTAAACATTGTAAACATTACAGGACTTTCAAAAAAGATAATAGTCAAACCAGAATGGGCATCTTAGTGAATCTTATTGCCTTCAAAGTAGTTGCCTATACCCTC